AAAAACACTCAAGCCGTTGTGCAAAGTGTTACTGCTGTCACTGTCTTCTCAAGTCCCATACTGCATTTTTGTCTTTTGTTAAGTATCTCATCACTTACCTTCCTGTGTTTTGTTTGACTCTGTTAGTGCTCCTGACCACTCTGTCTACAGCTATAGGGCAAGATAACATGGGGGTTTTTTTCCTACTGAATTGCACAGTTAATGTGTAACTTATTTCTCCTACCCAAATAATTATACTGCTAATCTGGGATTTCTTTGATGTTTCCAGGCAAATGTTCTGTGTAGGACAAAGATATCAGAAATACAGAATGATTGAGGTTGGAAGGGATCTCTGCAGGTCATCTGGTCTCCCCTGCTCAAGCACAACTATCTAGAGCTGTTTGCCAAGGACCATGTCCAGATGGCTTTGAATATCTCCAGGAATAGTAACTCCACCCCTGGAGATATTCAAGGCCATCTGAAAACAGTTAGATATGGACACCATTAAATCTGTAGGAGAATATGGATAGTACTATTAAAATGTTTTGTACTAAAGAGTTCTGCTTATCATCACCCTCAATTATTCTGTTACCGTCAGATCTGTTACAGGACAATGTTTTTTTTCCTACATAGGCATAATTCTAAATCATGAGGTGCTGATTTTAACAGAGGATATCTTACTGTGGAGCACAATTTCTCTACAAAATCTTTCCCTTAGCTCGTATCAGCTGTAAAAGCTGCAGACTCTGCCTGCTTCTGTGGAATTAGCCACACCAACACAATCTTACTATTGGGGTGTACTAAAGCTCCCTGTTATGGATTTTCTTCTGCAAACAATGATGTTCTCCTGTTTTCTTAAGCTGCATGTTCTACATTGGCTCAAAATTATAGATTTGCAACTGTAAAGTGAAAAGCTGCTGCTAGTAGGAAGCAATCAGGAAGTCACAATGACAGAAAATAGGACAGACGGGTTACAGGCTCTTTCTTAAGTCAAACTAAAATACTTAGACCTAGACAGGTCCTGACAGGGGAAATGGTTCAAATACAAAATACAGCACAATCTGTCTAGAAGTTTAAGAGCTGGAAAGGGATTGTGTGTCTGCACATGTATCTGCTTCTTCCAGCTGGGTCTTATGGTCTAGTATCACATTACCTTTCCCATTAACCTCCCTTCTCTAGACATCGGCTGCCTAGGTGCCAAAATTCCTCATTGGGTACAGATACCTCTCTTCTCCCCAAGGGTGTATTTCAAAGAATCACAGAATGCTTTGGGTTGGAAGGGACCTTTAGAGGTCATCCAGCCCAACCCCCCTGCAGTGAGCAGGGACAGCTTGAACCAGATCAGGTTGCTCAGAGCCCCGTCCAACCTGACCTGGAATGTTTCTAGGGGTGGGGCCTCCACTACCTCTCTGAGCAACCTGTTCCAGTGCTTCACCACACTCACTGTAAAAAGTTTCTTCCTTATGTCTAGTCTAAATCTACTCTTCTTTAGTTTAAATCCATTATTCCTTGTCCTGTCACAACAGGCTTTGCTAAAAAGATTGTCCCCATCCTTCCTGTAGGCCCCTGTTAAGTACTGAAAGGCTGCAATAAGGTCTCCTCGCAGCCTTCTCTTCTCCAGGCTGAACAACCCCAACTCCCTCAGCCTGTCCTCGTAGGAGAGGTGCTCCAGCCCTCGGATCATTTTTGTGGCCTGCCTCTGGACCCGCTCCAACAGGTCCATGTCCTTCTTGTGCTGAGGGCTCCAGAGCTGGACACAGGGCTCCAGGTGAGGTCTCACCAGAGCAGAGTAGAGGGGCAGAACCCCCTTCCTTGACCTGCTGGCCACACTGCTTTTGATGCAGCCCAGGATATGGTTGGCTTTCTGGGCTGCAAGTGCACATTATGCAGTTTGTTCCCTCTTCCTCTCTTATCCCCAGTTAGTCTAAGCCAGCATAGGCTGCTTCTTGCCACAGGAAGCTAATTGATTCCTTCCAGAAGAAGGCCAGACACAGGCAACAAAACAGTTTTCTCCAGATAAAGTGAGAAAAATAGACTGCACCCAGTTTGGCTACAGTATAAGGATGCCTGGGCTGTCTTCAGTATCCATACTTGGCATCATGTCTCAGAAACATTATTTTGGCCAGCTGTGACACAGCCCTCTTATTTCACACACTCTGACCTGAAATAAAGTTTTAGAGGAGCCACTGGCCTGCCCACCTGGCTAGTCAACTCCAATGGAGACTAATTCTGCTCACTGTGGGTGAATGGTAGACTGTGGTAAGAGACTGATGAATGGGTATTCCTTCCTTCTTATGATCCACAGAGCTGAAGACTTCAAACCATCTTCTCAAAGACAGCAGTTTCTCTTTTTTTGACTGAGACCTAGATAAAGGAGACTTGGGTGACTGACATTTTAGGGGGTTAGTGAGGGCATAGATGTTCCCACACCGACCAGTTTCCCAGTGGTACACAGGGAGGTCTGAAAAACCTGACCTTAGAGGTATCTATAACTTAGGTCATGAATCTCTTTGTGATGGAAATGAGGGCTCTGATGTCCTATGCCAATGTGGATGGGTATTTGAAACAATAGAGACCGATGTCTTTATCTGGCTAATAAATTTCTGTATGAGTCAATGCTATCCCTCAGTAGTCACACATTTGTAGATCCCTTTTTTTGCTTGTGCAGTGTTGCAGGATTTTAATTCTGCCAAAGCTCTCAGGAACAACCAAGGACTATTCAGGAAAATGTCATTCCTTTATTTACAGAGACACAGAAATGGTACTCCCAGTCTCATTCTTGCCTGAGAGACTGGGAAAAGTTGTGGAGTGCAAGATAAAAAGGTTCAGGGTGTCATCAGAAAATCAGGATAAAAATACTAGTGAACAGCTCCTTCTGATTTACATTATGGTGGTAGAATGCACTAAAAAAGCATTTTACTGTTTTTGGATTTGCCATGCAAATTTCACTTATCTTCTGCATAGGGTAAGTGTCTTCCTCTAGGTGTCTGCAGGGTCTGAGGGACTAACCTGACAAAGCTTTATTAAACAGGACTTATTATGCATTCTGTAGAGGCTGTCTTGAAGCCAGCAGTAACTCAGTATGTGAAAAACCTTATTTCCCCTTCAGGATGTGGTTAACTTGTTTTTCAAAGCAAGGGGGAGGTAATCTTAGATGGTGTGACTTAGTCATAAATATTGACCACAGTATCCTGCTTGTTGCTTGTGAGAGAAAGATGAGCTGGGAAATATGTGTGTTGGGGTCTTTTTGACTAATAACCAAGTTGTTATAGAAACTATCACTCCATCAAACCACCGCACATTATTTCCTGTTGGCCTCTTCCTAGTATCAATGAGTGGAAAAAACCAGCATGTTTTCTTCTCTTCTAATATGTATATTTTCCTTCCTCATGCTCATGTCAAACTGTCTCTTAACCGATTTCTCCTTAGACACATGTCTTTTTTTGCTATGACCCAAACCACCTTACTGGGGTCTCTTCAAAGTGATCTAAAAGATCAGACCTCATTCAAATCATGGCCCTGCTGAAGCTTTTTAATGCGCCAAAGAGAATCTCCACTTCCCTGTACAAAGTCTAGACAAGACAAATTCAGCCAACAGGAAATCTAGGTTATCAAAGCTGTATTTCTAATCTCACTGGTCATTAGGACACTTGGATTTCAGCAATCTCCATCTCAAATTCAGAAGAAAGAGCACAGAAGAAACCACAGCATTTTGGCTTACTAGAACTTTATTTTGGTCACTACTACAAGAATCTAAAATGCAGGTGCCATACACTTTGCAGAAGAAATACAGGTTTAATAAAGAAATGCAAATAAAAATGTTTCTATAGTTGAATATTATCTGGTTGAAGTGAATCACTTCAGATCCAACACAGGTCTTCTCCTCTACACTAGAAAACTATTGTTATTAAAGCTAGCTAAAAAACATTAAAGCTATAAATAGCATCTACTGTGCCTGAATTCTCTAAGCAGTAACAGACAGCAATGCAATGCACCTGTAAAAGGTGTTTTTAAAGGGTCATATGTCTATAGTGAGGTTTGGGTTTTTCAGAACTATTGAAGCAGGTTGGATGCTTCTATGCAAAGGCTAGAAGACTGGGGAGATCAATTTCTGCTTAGAAGGGAGATGAGGAAAAATACAGTCTCCTCAGTTCACAGGGAAAAAGAAATAGCAAAAGCAGTTACAACTCTTACTACATAAACTAGCTAGGCAGGATTCGATAGTATAAACTGTCCTAAGGGAAAGGTGCTGTGTTGTGTTCTGGATGGTTATTCTCAGCAGAGTTGATATTGGTCAACCCGTTGTTCTGCTGGTACACGTTCTCTCCTGCTGTTCTTCAGATTGCTGTTGCCTTGCTTCACCACCTCCTGGAAGAGTAAAGTGTGTTTAAACTACATTTAATGCAATTGGGCCTATGTGCTACTGTTAGATAGCTGTCAGATCAAGACAGGTAGGCTCACAAAACTTAGGCTGGACTACCTTTTGTGCCTCTTTGGATTCCTTAATCTAAAAATCCTCCCCCTTCCTCTCTTTCCTCCCACTACTTCACATGTTTGTGTGTTGGAAGCCTTGTTTTTGACTCCTCATTTGCCTTGATTTTTCTCCAGGCTTTGTGGTCTGCCACTTGAAATAGTCAATGAGATATCTCTTAGGCAATTCTGGTAATACCTGAGTTGTTCTGGCAAAACAAGTTTGCTGCAAAGAAAATTTGGGCACCATCCACCATGAACTAAGCTTTGGATACAGAAAGGATTTGTTTTCTTTGTGGTTTTGGGGGGAGGGCCAGGAGGGGTTTGGTTGGTTTTTTGAGGTTTGTTTGTTTGGGGGTTGGTTTTCTTTTTTGGGGGGGGGGGCGCTTTTGGTTTTTTTCCCCAGAAACCTACAAGAGTTATTTAACAGAAACAGGAGCAAATGAAGAGGTATCATTCCTTGTGGAGTTAGAGAAGTACACAAAGACAAGGAGTCATTCCTGACATGTGCTTCCAGTATTTCTACAGATCAAGCTATCAGCTTCCTTACCTCAAAAAAGAAACAACTTGATACTCATGAGTGTATTGAAGGCGATACTTTTTGCCAGCAGGACTCTCAAACCCAACACAGCCATAGACAGCATGTTCGCTTTTTCCACTTTGGTATCTGCTTGGTGATAGAGAAAAGATGGGAGAGATCATGGTCTATATTTGGATATTGTGATATTGCACGAAGTGGAAAAAAACACAGGTAATAGTTTCAGGGAAAGAAACAGCAGCAAAGGAAAAGCTGACAGAGAAACATGGCAACAACAGGGGAGGAGGATGTCTGTCTAGATCGGATTTTGCTTCCTGTTGCTTGTCTGTTACTAACTAGCTACCTTGAAAAAGCAGGTGGTGTTTGATGAATATGTTGTATTCTGATTCCTGTACCCATAAGAAAATACATTTCCATGCATTTATCCCCAACATAGCAGTGTAACTTCACAGTCTATTTAGGTAACTAACCTTGCGCAGAGGTGTCTGTGGTGTTGCAAACCTTCCCTGGTTTGGGTGGTTCTTCAGCCTCCTTTTCTGTAGCATGATAAAAAAAAGGCATTATAAGCTATATCCAAATTTTAAAAATGATTGAACAACATGTTCATATGACTCTTCCCATAGAAACATGTGGGCAGTACAGTCTGAGGCTCACTGAGGATGACCGGTCACTAATTCTAACATTAATTTGAGAAGAAAATTTCTCCATGCAATTGCAGGAAACAAAAGAATGCCTGAGTTGTTTTGGGTTTACTGTTTGAATGAGCTTCATGATGGCAAAAACAATCCCCCAAAATATAAAAAACGGTAACAGAAAAAACCCACACCACCTCTTTAACTGTTTGTTATTTTTACAAAGGTTATTTCAGGCTGTGCTCTAGGAGGTTTGCTGCTATGTGAAGTATTTAGTCATAAGTAAATGTAAATTTTAAAAAAAGGTTGTCGTCTTTTTTTCAGCCAAAAAAGTAACTCCAAGTTTTTTAACAGTTAAGACCATTTATTTTAGATGCTTTTAAATATCTTTCATCTCTGCCTGCTTAAGTACCAGATGTCTTTCCCATTTCTGCTGGTTACCCAGGGCAATTCTTACTAGCAGGAGAAATAGCAACTGCTAGAAGACACTGCTTCCAGAAATAAGTTGCAGCTGTACCACAAAATTGTACCTGGCAATGTTGTGTTGGCTGTAATAGTTTTGCCATCGAATGTGACCGTGCAGGTCACCTCTGTGCCTTTTGTCACATTCACCACCTTAATAGTATCGTACAACCCCTCTGATGTCAAAACGGGTGTACTCTGATCATATACAACGTCATCAGAGGACATCTGCAAGCTGATTTTCTTTGTATAGGAATTTCTTGCCAAACAAGCTGCTTTCCCAATGTTGCCATCTTCTTCCAGTTTCTTTGATTTCATCACAATGACTTCTGGGACAGAAGTGTTTTGATTGTCTGTAAAAGAAAGCATTGTTTGGGCATGATTTTATTTTATTGCAAGCTTGCCCAAGTGCTACATCACCTAAGATTCATACATACTCCATTGTGTATTCCTAGCATTATCAATGGCTAACTGTCTTTTTTTGTCATTATTACTTGCTGCCGCTTCCAGAATATCAGATCAAAGACAGAAAGGGTGTATGAGAGTAGGTTTTCTCACAGGAGCTTTAATTCTACAGGATTCTAAGCTTCCTTTTGCCAAAGCTCTTGCATATATGTGAATTCTTTATTTTATAACTAAGGGACCTGCAAATGAGAAGAGAACTTTTATGCATGACACTCCAAGAGTCAAATTATTCTGCTTTCTCAACAATTTAATTCCTAAAAATAACACTTCTATCAAGGACTGTCTTGCATATTCATGAGACATGAGGGAATAACTGTTTTTCCTTTACTCTCCCTCCCCTCCCCCAGATCTTCTTCTGATGTGGCTAAAAGGTCTAACCATAGTAAGAGCGGTAGGGCAAATACAAGTCAGTTTGTTGCCTCACTGTTGTGCAAGGTTACTCCAATGAATGACATTACTTGCAGAAATGAAGTACTGCTGCTGGAGTGGGGGACAAAGCTGTTCTTTTCAACAACAACTGCTCAGATGCAAGAAGGATTTTTGTCTCTAAGATGGGAAAGTAGGAGAGAAGCAATCAGAAGTCTGTGAGTTGCATATCTGCACTTCTCCAGGAGTTTCTGATAAGGTCAAGAACTTTCAGTTGTGGGGGAGGTTTTACCCACATTACATTGCACATGGTGTAAGACATTCCAACCCAGTCTGGAGACAATGAAAAGAGAATAGGATTGGTACTTGGTTCAACAAAAATTCTTGTGTCTGTTCCAAAAAGTATGACCTTTCTCATCCACATGCTGTGCCATATTGTTAGTCCCACAGCTCCAGGGGCAGTTAAAAGTATAATGCAGAATTTGTATAATAAACTGATTTGAAGGGAAGAACACTGTGAGGCCTATGAACTTGATGTCCATGGACAAATCTTATTACAATGTTCCTTAGATTAGTGCAATAACCTTCAGTGTTAGTCCTTTATTGTTAAGATACCAGCAAATGTCAAGGCATGAAAAACATGCCCTAGAACTGGAGTTTTGAAAGAACCTAAAAGATACTGACAAGTTTTCACAGGATTTGGGTTTCTTGTTCTCTCATGCATCTTTCTGAAGAGTTACTCTGAAACTTTTAGATGTGTTTTTTCAGTTTTTGAAAGAATTTTAGAGTTGAATTCCCAGTTCCAAGCAACACACTTAAATGACAAAGGCTTGACAACTGTAAAAGCCTGAATTTTAACTATATAGCAGCAGCCTTCTCTGGAAATTTCTTATAAGACATACAAGTAATGAAATAAGATTGCTTAAATTTGAAGGGGATGTCTTTTAAGAAAACAGTTGGTCTCAAAATAATTTAGTAGCCAACAAATCATTATGATATCATGATTTTTTTAAAAGTAAAATATCTTTGTCCTCACGTCATATGTGGAGAAACTAGGATGATTCCACATACCAATGTCAGGACAAGATTAGCAACATGAATTATGAGAAAAACATGAAACTGAAGGGAATCATCTAGCATGCTTCCTTACCAAAAAAGGCTCAGTTTATGAAAGGCTACCAGACATATCAAAAAAGATCTACATGTCCAATGTGACAGGAACATCCTGATGGGTCCATTTGCTAAAGAGAGGTGCATTAGGCTTTGAATTTTTCATGGCAGCTGCCTTGCAGTCTGGTCAAGAGATCCGCCAGGTCTAACATTTTGTTCATCACAGGGTATTTTTTCAAGGTTTGATCAAGGGGCTCTGATTTTATTCTCTTTCCCCACCACTCATACACCAATACTGAGGCACTGAGGTGAAAGCCAAGTAATACTCTGCCATTAACTTCATGGGTTGGCTCTACTAATAAAATAGGCACAACTCCATGCTTGTCAACTACAGCAAACAGATACCAAACAGGAATCAAACACTTATTGATTTCATTTGACCTAGTCAGTTTAACCCAAACTCTGAACAATTCAGTAAGATTAAACTAGTACAGAAATGTTGCATAAGATTCCATTTAATGCTTTTGTACATTATCCTTCTCTCCTCTCAGTGCTGTCTTTCTAACGCTGACACAACAGAAACTCTTAGGAACTTAAATGTCAGCCTCAATGGAAACTTTATTTCCCTTTAGACTGTCCAAGCATGACTTTAAAACCTAACAATTACTATGAAAGGCTTATTAAGATGCCTGAGTAAGTGGATAGATGTTAGGTCCCAAACAAATTGAGCACATTAGCAGAAGAGGGATCAGCATGGTTTTTATACTTAAATTATCTAGTTGTATATAAAAATGTTACACATAGAAAGCCTAAAGTCTAATTAGTGACTTTAAAGCACGGCGGAGTGGCTGCCTGAATTTTAGGAGGAAGAAAAGGGGAAAAAAGTGAAAATCCAAACAATAACAACTCAGAAAAGGTTAATGCATAAAGGATACTTACTTGGCTCCACGGTCAGTTGAGTCCCCTTCCCAAAGACAAGACCAGCAGTAACACACAGTTAAAACACATAAACCAAGAAAGGCTCATTTTGCTATTCCTCCTATATACATTTCCTTTCCAGGTGCTGTAACATGGTTTTGCCAGAGCCTGTTAGTCCTCTGTATTCTTTGTTATCTGAGAAGATCTTTAGAGGCCTTTCATGTTTTCTGATCTCCAGTATTTCCAAACAGCCAGTATACTAGCAAGCTGCTTCTCTGGCATAGCTCACTGGGTAAAATCCTCAGCAAGAACAAATGTACACTGTGCAATTGTAGTCAATAAAGCAGAATTATTTCTTTATCAGACCCCAGAAGCCTCAACTGGGTCCTGCTATTTTGCCTTACCTGAAAATACAGCCATGAATTCCTACCACTGCTTGCTTTTGGGAGGGATTTTTATATTACACCCTGGCAGTAGCATTTTATTAGCACAAGAAGTTGTACTACTTTTTCCCTTTAATCTTACAAAGTCATGGGAAGAGCTGTATGTTCCATAATGTTATGGGCCTTACTTTTCTTAATGCAAGTTTTATTTAGAATAAACCAAACCAAACCAAACCAAAAACCTTATCTGTCCTTAACTGAGTCCTCAAGAGGAGAATATGCCTTGAATGTCCTATAGTGACTACTAATGTATGTTTTCTACACCATTTTGTGTTTGGGGATTCTAAAAGATTCGGGTAATAAAGTATGTCTGTTCTTAGCATCTTAAAATGCATATTAGTATCTCCCAAAGAAATCCAAATTTAGCAACTAAGGGTCAGGTTGCACAAATTCTGGAAATTTTGGCTTCAATTTATTAAGTATTCAACAAACACTGAGTGACTTAGATGCTTAAGGCCTATTATTTTTTACTGTCAAACATAATCCTAAAGCCTTTGTGCATCTTTGAAAATGTCTTCCTATCCTTAGCTAGAAAAAGAGAAATCATTGAACTGAATGGAAACTTCGTTCAGCTGAAGTTTCATGTAATTTTGCATCAGGATGTCAGAGAGGACAGACAGGCAGGCGAAACAGAGAAAGAATTATTTAAACCATTTCAGGGTAGAGGAGAAGACAAGGCTAATACCTTTCTTTTGTCAAATGAATTGTTCTCTAACTCAAATTGTGGGAATCTCAGTGAAGAAGTTTTAGAAATTTGAGTAATGTACCATAAAAGTTTGCTTAAACCAAGAATATCTTGTAGTCAGTGAGCCACATGCTACCTTCAGCTGATTAGAAACAAATCTTTTCTTGTCAGCACAAGAACCAACATTCTATTTTTTTTTTTTTTTTTAAAAAAGGCTAAGACCCTTTATGTGAGAAACAAGAGTATCCTATCAGCATTTCTGTAAATGTCTGAAATGGCAATGCCATTGCTCAGTCTTCCACCTGCCAGCTCTTAGACTGTGCTTTGTTGGTTATTTCTTGCCAAATTCTAGTATTCTGTATGGGATAGTCTACCTCTTTTTTTTGTGACAAATACCGTCTTCAAATCGATGTTGACTGATGTTAAAATAATGGAATCTGGCAGTTTCTTCTGGTCCTGCATTTACAACTGAGTATTTTCTGGTTGGAAAGAACAGATCTTTCTTCAGAATGGTAACTTTGTATTCCTTTGTCCCTTTGGAACTGGGGGTGGGCTTAAATTGTTCCAGAACAGGCATTTGTTCCCATGCAAGATATCCTGCAGACCTGGACAGGTATTAGGCAGCACCTAAGGGAGCCCCATGTCCTTCTGGAATGAGAGCAGGATTTTTTAGGTATGTAAAATTACATGGGACATTTTTGCAGCACTTTAAAGACATGCAGATCTCTCAAAGCACCATAATAAGTCTTAAGATGTGCACCTGGAGGTTTAGGACAACAATTATCAACCGAACAAACTCCCCAGCTGCCCCAACATTCATGCTCCCACAGAAAATCTTGGGGTGACATCCACCTTTTTGTACATCATGGAATTCCAAATAAAGATAGGAAGAACTAAGGCTTGTTATAATTCCTACTCACCAAATCTGCATTTTCAAAGCCTAGGCAACTTGGTAGCCAATTTTCATTCATTCTAAGTGGTCTTGTATATGAGGCAGCTGTGAAAATCTAAGGATATTTAACCTCCTTCCTCCTTTGTCTCCCTGCCAGTGGAATTACTTAACCTGGTGACACTACGAGTGTAGTGCCAGTGTCAAAAACTAGATTGTCATACCAGAGAGCTAAAGATCTATCTCAGAACTTCTCCCTACTGTCAGCTCTTCACTGAGCTGTGCATTCC